AATCGTATAACTTTTGCCTTGTTTTGGAAAACTTACTTCTTGTTGATATTATGGCTGGGAGAGGATGGAGGGCGCCGGAGAAAAAACTGGTGACCGGAAATAACATACCAACGACTCCCTCTCAGAACCAGGGAGTAACTACACTATTAGCAAATGAACTGCGCCCCCTAATGGAACAGATGACTAACCTCAACGCCAAACTGGACAGTGTTCAAAAACAACTGAATCAAAAGGATAAAAGAACCTCAGTAACTGGGAAAATGTTGAAAAAAATGGAAAAACAGACTGAGTATCAACAAGAGAAGATGGAGCAGAGAAGGACAGATCCTCCAATAAAACGCAACTAATACAGCTCCAGCTGGAAAGATCTACGTATGTTCTACGTTTCCATGGGATCCCTGAAGAGAAGAATGAGGATTTAAAAGAACTTTTGGCGGAGGCTTTGGCCCCATTAATGGATTATAAACAGGAAGACCCGGATTATAACGAAAAATAAACTCCCAGGGGAAACCTATTTAAAATTCACGAAATGATCTACCAGAGAACTAGTGTTAAAATCTACAAAGGGAAACCCCCTAAAAATTAAGAATGAAGAGATAAAAATACTAAAAGACATTCCCTATGAAGTCAGAAAACAGAGGAAACTATACAGGATGCTTACTCTCACTCTGCAAAAAAAAAGGGAGTACCATATAGATGGTTATTCCTGGAAGGACTGAGCTTCAACTATCTGGATAAAAAATACAAAATTGACTCTGTTCCAAAAGCCAAAATATTTATGGACCAAATGTTTAACGTAAAATATAAGAAAGAAAAGAACTCAAAACCAGATCAGGAGGAGGAAGAAGAAGAAGAATCCTACAGGATTCAAAATGCACTACTTCCACATCACCAGAAACATCGGAATCGGAGAAAGGAGCAGCCGCCCCCAAACTCAAGAAAACGAAGAAATGCAGGAAGAAAAGACTCTAGAACAAGAACAACAGTTCTTATTTATTTATTTTATTCAATTTATACCCCGCCCTCCCCGCAATGCAGGCTCAGGGCGGCTTACATGGAGGCAAACGCCAATATAAAACATATTTAAAACCATTTGAAATCCCAACAGTACAAAAACATTATTTACAAGTTCTTAACTAAAGTGCTCTAGATGTTCAACGAGATATTTCATAGATGGCGTATTTCAGCTGTTCGGCATCATCTGCTCCAGGGAAACGCTGATGTTCCCTCATCCAGGGCCAGGTGAAGATGGAATCATAGTGATGGTAGTGGCGGCTCCTACTCATACGCCTGGTGGAAGAGCTCCGTTTTACAGGCCCTGCGGAAATGCACAAGGTCCCGCAGGGCCCGGATCTCCTCCGGGAGCTCGTTCCACCAGGTAGGAGCCACCACCGAGAAAGCCCTGGCCCTGGTAGCGGCCAGCCTGGCCTCTTTGGGGCCTGGCATTGCCAGGAGGTGTTGCATCCCAGACCGAAGTGCTCGTGGGGGAACATATGAGGAAAGGCAGAATTTGTGTTAAGCTATTAAATGCATATTCTTAACGAACCAACCTGTATACCAAACTTGTAACATTAGGTTAACAAGCCTTACTTTTAGCTAATTAGATCGTGACACGTATTAGCTTTCCTTTCCCCAAATCCAATAGATGAAATAGCTTAGAAGAGTAGCCTCCTTTCCCCATCAGGTAGTCTTTTATGTGTTCGTTTGCCCTCTTCCCATTTCCCATAGCAATAGTGATAAGGTTTTAGTTTCCTTTCCCCTTCCAATTTTTATTTTTAGTTGTAGTTTTTGTAGTTTATAGAAAATGCAAGTAAAAAATCCCCTTCGGGGGGGCATTAAAAAAAAAGATTTATTGCTGAAAATAATTTTTCCAGCCCTGAGCCTAGTTTCTTTCTGACAGAATCACATTTCCTTGGTGTTTTGCACAGCACAGAACCGAATACATTAAACAAAAAACCCGTTAACATTTATTTACTTTGTTTATACTCTGCTTTATTCCCCAGTGGAGACCCAAAGTAGCTTATGAGATTGTCCCCCTTCTCCATTTTATCCTCACAGCAACCCTGCGAGGTAGGTTAGGATGGAAGTATATGTCTGGCCCAAGGTCAACCAGCAAGCTTCTATGGCAGAGTGGGGATTCAAAACTGTGTCAAAGTCTGACACTCTAACCACGACACTCTAACCACTACACCACACTGGCTCTCATGTATGGATCCCATATTTCTGATTTCTAATCAGATACAAACCAGTTACCAAAAATTGTTCAGAGAAATGTGCTGTTTCCTGATGCATTTCCATTGATGCATTTCCATTAATTCTTATGTCACTGTTTTGTGCCTAAGTGGTCAAGTCTAATATACAGCTTGTTTGGATATCCCATTCCTCCCAGAAGCTGTGAGTTTAAAAGCCCTTCTCAATTCCTTTTACCACATATAGAAAGTAATGCTTGAACTAAGAGATCCAGAGATTATATTAATTCAGGATCTCCCTCATGCAGTGAGCAGAGAAGTGCTTCCAAAGAGGAACAAGTAGGAAGTATGCTTGCCCAGTCTTATCACAGACTGGGAAAGTAATGTATGAACAGGCCCATATTCAAGTAATGTACGAATAGGTCCACAGAATCTGTTGAAATTTGAAATGGCTGCCTAGAGAAGACCACATAGACTATAAAAGTGTACTGCTGATTGATGGGCAGAAAATGATTCACTCTCAATATAAAGCAGAAAAGGCCTAAAGCCTCACAGC